TGAGGGAAATCGTATCGTGACAATAGGAGACAGAAACAAGTGTAGTAAACAGACTCAACAATTACAACTAGCCAAAAAGCTGAAGAACATGTAATAGAGAATGATATATACCAAGCAGCTACAATGAAAAAGTAAACAATGGAGAACTGGTATGTGCTACAGTGTATAAACAATGGGGAAATGGTGCCACCAGTGGACTAAAATATTTGAGGGGCATAGAGAAGTGGGAAGGGTCTGTAGCTTTTTGTTTACTTTTGTTCATATCCTGCTTTTCTCCCCAAAGTGCTTACATCATTCTCCTCTTTCCTGTTTTATCCTCACAATAACCCTATGAGGTAGATCAACATGGGCATCCGTGATAGTCTGTCTGTAGCAGTAGAAAAGAGCCAGAGTCCAGGAGCACCTTAAAGACTAGCAAAATACGTGGCAGGGAGGAGCTTTTGTGAGTCACTGCTGGCTTCTTCAGATACAGCTAGGATGGGAGTCTGTCCTATTTATTGTGGAGTGATTTCAGATGCCGAATGACAGTAGCAGGTGAATAACAATATAGCAGGTGTGACTGGATTTACGTGAGAGATGCAGAGGGGTAATAGGTGTGGAGAAATCAGCATTGGCAATGAGACAGGAAAACCTAGGTCTCAATTCAATCCAGGTGGATGCATTGTCTTGAGCTTCAGCAGTCTCTCTATGAGGTCGGTTAGACTGAGAGTGTGTGACTGGCTCAAGGTCACCCAGAGAGTTTCCATGGCTGACGGGGATTTGAGCCTGCGTTTCCCAAATCCAAGTCTTGACAGTTTTAACTACGACACCACACTGGCTCTCTGTTTCAATAACAGAGCGCCTTCTTGGCAGGCAGCAGCTCCCAGATTCAGACTCTTGTATCTCCAGTTAAAAGGGGAAGACCCTGGAGAGCTGCTGCCGGTCTGAGTTGTGGTTTGATTCAGGATGTCAGTTTTGTGTGATCATGAACGTGTGAGGAGGAAACTGCCTCTCTTCTTGGTCTGTCTTGACGTTTCTATCTTCGTCTTCTTCAAAGTTAGGCTAGCATACATCGTTTTGCTTTTCCTGCTTTTTATCCTCACAACAACCCTGTGAGGGAGGCTAGGCTCTCGATATCGAGCGGGTAGGAGTATGGGCAAGAAGGGCTCGGTAGGCTGAGGCTGAAATGGGGAGCGATGGAGACACCGGGAGTGGGGCAGGTGAGGCATTGTCCATCTTGCATTTTATCCTACTCTTTCCGCAAGGAGCTCAGGGGGCATTTATGGTGCTCTCCATCTCGGTATAGTCTCCACGACAGCCTGGTGAGGTAGGTCTCAGCCAGTGTTCCCTCTAAGCTGAGTTAGTGTGAGCTAGCTCACAGTTTTTTAGCCTCCAGCTCACGCATTTTTGTCTTGGCTCAGGAAGGATGGCTCCAGATCAACTAATTTATGCAGTAGCCAAATTGCTGGCTCACAACTTTAATGTCAGTAGCACACAAAGTACAATTTTTGCTCACAAGACTCCACAGCTTAGAGGGAGCATTGGTCTCAGCTGAGGAAAAGTGGCTCTTTCGAGGTCGCCCGGCCAAACGTCGCGGCCAAGTGGTGCTTTGAATCTGGATGCCCCAGCCCGGCGCTTAAAGCACACTAAAGAGGAAGGTTGAGGAAAGGAGGGATGTTTGCAGATCTGTGGTTGTGCAGGTGGAGGGGAGCCTTGCGGGGGGGTGGGAAACAGAGCAACTTCGCAGCAGTGGATGAAACCCGAAAGGTCGGTCTGGTGCCCCTTCCTCCCCCACCAGGAGAAAGTGATCCGCACAGCAGGGCCCCTGCTTCTGACCCCCCGCCACGCGAGCCATAGCGTGTGTCTAGGAGGTGTGTTGTGGAAGAATGGTTCCGTATTGCTCTTGTGAGTGAGCCACGTTTCACACCGTGGGTGAATGTGACTCGAGAGGGGTTGCTGGCTAATCTGATCCCTGCAGTTCCTTCCTGACCTGAAGTGCAGTGGCCAGTCGGACCTCGGTAGCAAAGCAGAAAGGTTTGGCTTGCCTCCACAAGCCGCCCCTCCTCCATTTCTGGCCACAGTAAATCTCTTAATACAATTTACTTACATAAGAACGTTTAGCCAGTCCCAGTAGAAGCCTCCGAGATGGCTTGCATAACCGTAAAAGATATGTGACAAAGGCCAGTAGAGCACCTGTTTCCAGACTCTTGAGAGGCACGTTGGGAAACGACAACCACAAAATCTTTTAGGGTTCCTTTCCTCCAGATCTGAATCCATCCAATTTTCTGGGCTGCTAAGAACTTGGAGATACCCCCCACCCCCCGCTTTCATGGCAGTGGGTCACCTCAGGCCCCTTTGTGATGCTGTGGGAGGGAGGGGTTGTGACACTCTTGGGGGACCCTGGTGGCTGGGGAGGGGCCCACACTGGACTCTGGCTGCTTTGCTCAGCCGAAGCGTAGCCCCAGAATGAACTGAGTGCACTCCACTGATAGATATATAAGCCCCCCCCCCCGATTCCTGGATACCACCTTGTGGTTTGTCTTGAAACGGCTTGCTCTATATGAACAGGTTTGTAGTTCTCTCAGTGGGATGATATTTATTTATTTTTATTTACACACACACACATATATAACAGCAAACAAGTTAAAACCAGGGCTATTTTGGGGCAGGAACGCACAGGAACGGAGTTCCGGCTGGCTTCAGAGTAGGCCGCGCCCAATACAGCCAAAACCTCTGTGTGCATGGCCACAGAGGGAAGGCCTGGAGAGCGACCCCCCCCCGGCGACTCCGAGGCAGGCAGGCCAGGCCCCCCCCTGGAAGGATCGGGAAGGCATTTAAATGCCTCCCCTGGTCTGTCCAACGACCGGCAAGCCAAGGGAAGGCATGGGGTGTGTGGCCTAATATGCTAATGAGCTGTACTGTCAGGGGAGTGGCCTAATATGCTAATGAGTTTCTGCTGTTGGGTGTGGCCTATTATGCTAATGAGTTCCTACTGGGCTTTTTCTACCAAAAAAAAGCCCAGGTTAAAACCCAATATTTCAGTAGGTAAATTCACAACATATAAAATCATATAAGTGCCAGTAAACATAATATCAATAAACATTGATAAAGTATTAGTAGGTATTTACAAATGATGGCAGTGTACTCTCAGCTTCCAGACGGTCATTGCTACCTCAGTCTGGGCTCTCACCCGACTATTAATTATTGAGCCGGTGCTGATTAATTATTGAGTCAGGGCCGTAATATTAGGAGGCGGCACCCTAGTCAAAGGCCTGGTGGAAGAGCTCCGTTTTACAGGCCCTGCAGAACTGTAACAAGGTCCCGTAGGGCCCTGATGTCATCCAGGAGCTCATTCCACTAGTAAGGGGCTGCCACAGAGAAGGCCCTGGCCCTCGTCACAGCAAACCTGGCTTCCTTAAGGGCCTGGAAGGGCCAAATGATTTTTGGGAGCCCGATCTTAGAGCTCTCTGGGGAACATGTGGGGAAAGGCAGTCCCTCAGGTAGATAGGTCCCTGACCATATAGGGCTTTAAAGGTAAGAGCCAGGAGTTAACCTCAAGGAGGCCAGGAGTTAACCTTATCTGTAAGCACTGATCCCAGTTCAGCCTGGTGTTTCCTGGAGGGCTCTTGGCCCCGGCATTTAAATAGTTGGTTGTCTGTTCACTTACGGTGGCCATTGCTTGGCTCCAGTTGAGCAGGCAAGAAACCTTTCCTTTGTGTTTTGTTCTCCCTTTTAAATCACAAGTGATTTAGATCCATGTGGGGAGGTGGTCTAATAAATCCTTGTCTGTGGTGGCAAACTTTGCCGGGGGGCGGGGGTGGGCGGGCTTTTATTTGTGACACTGTTCAAGAGACAAAGTGTGTTATCTAGGAAAATCCTTGGTTCAAATCTTGCATTGGGCAGGAGCCAACTGGCTGGCCTTTGGCAAGTCCCTCTCTCCCAGGCTTGCCTTCCCATCTACAATATGGAAGTGATGATATTAGCCTACCTCACAGGGTGGTTGTGGGAAGTACGGAGTAATGAGGAAAAGGTCTGTCTGAGGGTCAGTTCGCAGTGCTCAGTATGTGTTAAGTTATTCTTTCATAAGAGAACATAAGAGAAGCCAATGTTGGATCAGGCTAAGGGCCCACCTAGTCCAACACTCTGTCACACAGTGGCCAAAAATACCAGGTGCCATCAAGAGGTCTATCAGTGGGGCCAAGACACTAGAAGCCCTCACACTGTCCCCCCCCCCCCAAGCACCAAGAATACAGAACATCCCTTGCCCCAGACATAAGAACATAAGAGAAGCCAATGTTGGATCAGGCCAATGGCCCATCTAGTCCAACACTCTGTCATAAAGTGCCCAAAAATACCAGGTGCCATCAGGAGGTCCAGCAGTGGGGCCAGGACACTAGAAGCCCTCCCACCGTTGCCCCCCCCCAAGCACCAAGAATACAGAGCATCACTTGCCCCACACCTAGAGTTCCTATCTATACCTTGTGGCTAATAGCCACGGATGGACCTCTGCTCCATATGCTTATCTAATTCCCTCTTGAAGCTGTCCATGCTTGTAGCCGCCACCACCTCCTGTGGCTGTGAATTCCATGTGTTAATCACTCTTTGGGTGAAGAAGTGCTGCCTTTTATCCCTTCTAACCCGACCACTCAGCAATTTCATGGAGTGCCCACGAGTTCTTGTATTGTGAGAAAGGGAGAAATGTACCTCTTTCTCTACCTGCTCTATCCCATGCATAATCTTATAAACCTCGATCATGTCACCCCTCAGTCGTTGTTTCTCCAAGCTAAAGAGCCCCAAGCACTTTAACCTTTCTTCATAGGAAAAGTGTTCCAACCCTTTTATCATTCTAGTTGCCCTATAGTTGCACTATAATGTCCTTTAATGTCCTATAATGTCCTATAATGACCAGAATTGTACACAGTACTCCAAATGAGGTCGTGCCATCGATTTATACAGGGGCATTATGATACTGGCAGGTTGTGGGATCAATTATCAGGGATCTCCTGATTGAAAGAGCTCCCAAAGAGAAATCCAAAGCCGCGGAATCCTCCAAGCCTCGACAAGGGCCCACAGATGAAGCCCAGATGGCAGCGGCTGCAGCGTTGGCCCGGCTGGAGCAGAAGCCGAAGCCCCGGGCACTGTCGTCCCAGGATGCAATCAGGAATCAGGGTAAGGGGGTGACTTGCGGAGTGCTGCCTTTGGGGGTGGGGGGGCAAGTGTTGGCGTGGGTGTTAACTGCAATTCTGTGGAAAGCCAGAAGGTGCAGGATCCAGCTTTCTGCCATAGCAATGTAAGGAGAACCCTGCTGGATCGGATTAAAGGTCTATCTAAACCAGTGGCGGCGAACCTATGGCACAGGTGCCAGAGGTGGCACTCAGAGCCCTCTCTGTGGGCACGCGTGCCATCGCCCCAGCCAGTCCCAGACCATCATTAAAGTGTCAAATTCTCTGCCAAATAATTTTAAGTAAATGAAAGCATTTGGGATGGCTTTCCTTCCTTTGTTTGGATCATCTTAAGTTAATGTATGAGTGGTTTTTTCTAAAGTAAAACCTCAGCATTCAGGTTAAATTGCCGTGTTGGCACTTTGCGATAAATAAGTGGGTTTTGGGTTGCAGTTTGGGCACTTGGTCTCTAAAAGGTTCGCCATCACTGATCTAAGCTGAGCGTCCATTTCCGACAGTGTCTTAGAGGAATTCGCCAGCAGACCGGGATGGCGAGAGGCTGCCCCCAGAGGGTGTCTCCTTGGCAGTCCTCCCCACCACCACACACGTTCTGTGTATTGTACGTAATTTTAAATGCCCCCCCCGTGTTCAACGAGAGAAAGAGGGGGTGCGTGGTGTGCATGCGTTCAGAAGTATGCGCCCCTAACCCTGTTATGTGATCTTTTGAGCCCGTGCTTGGGAGGTGGTCCTAAATTGAGAGTCTCACTTTTATCGTCTGCAATGGATTGATGAAAGCAGAAGGGTAGCCGTGTTAAAACGCAGGAGGCCAGCGGCAAGTGTGGTGCAGCAGCGTGGTGGCAGAGGAGAGTCCTTGGGCTACACAGACCTCAATCCTGCAGATTGAAAGCCCTGTTTTAAACTCCCAAATTTGCTGGGGGGGGGTGTTGAGAGGAAGGGAGGGGGGTGTCTCATTCAGGGTCATTCTGAAAACAGCAGCCAGTTGGGTGGAGGAAAGGCCTTCCTTTTGAGGCGACAGGCCTCCTGGCAGAGGGATTTCACAACTGAGAACGTAAGAGAAGCCAATGTTGGATCAGGCCAAAGGCCCATCCAGTCCAACACTCTGTCACACAGTGGCCAAAAACACCAGGTGCCATCAGGAGGTCCAGCAGTGGGGCCAGGACACTAGAAGCCCTCCCACTGTTGCCCCCCCCAAGCACCAAGAATACAGAGCATCACTTGCCCCAGACATAAGAAAATAAGAGAAGCCAATGTTGGATCAGGCCAGTAGCCCATCCAGTCCAACACTCTGTCACACAGTGGCCAAACACACCAGGTGCCATCAGGAGGTCCAGCAGTGGGGCCAGGACACTAGAAGCCCCCCCACTGTTGCCCCCCCCAAGCACCAAGAATACAGAGCATCACTTGCCCCAGACATAAGAAAATAAGAGAAGCCAATGTTGGATCAGACCAGTAGCCCATCCAGTCCAACACTCTGTCACACAGTGGCCAAACACACCAGGTGCCATCAGGAGGTCCAGCAGTGGGGCCAGGACACTAGAAGCCCCCCCACTGTTGCCCTCCCCCCAAGCACCAAGAACACAGAGCATCCCTTGCCCCAGCCTGAAAGTTCCTATCTATACCTTGTGGCTAACAGCCCCTGATGGACCTCTGCTCCATATATTTATCCAATTCCCTCTTGAAGCCGTCCATGCTTCTAGCCACCACCACCACCTCCTGTGGCAGTGAATTCAATGTGTTAAACACTCTTTAGGTGAAGAAGGGACTACCGTTCATCCGTTGTAACCCGACTGCTCAGCAATTTCATGGAGTGCCCCCGAGTTCTTGTACTGTGAGAAAGGGAGAAAAGTACCTCTTTCTCTGCCTGCTCGATCCCATGCATCATCTTGTAAACCTCGATCATGTCACCCCTCAGCCATCATTTCTCCAAGCTAAAGAGCCCCAAGAGCTTTCCCTGGTTCTTTATAGTGAGTCAGCATTGGGTCACTTGCATCCATTGCAGGTAGCTTCAGAGGGCAGCCATGCTGGTCTGCGGTAGAAGAGCTCGGCTTAGCGATGCCCACCAACATGATTTTATTTATTTATTTACATTTTTAACCCGCCCTCCCCGCGAACGGGCTCAGGGCGGCGTACAGAATCGGCCAATGCCCAATATATAAAACATTAAAACTGCATTTAAAAACATTCAATACAACATAAGTGCTCTCCACAATAACAAGGGAAGAGATGACGTCATCAGGATGGTATCCTTAGTGGCCACAGCTCCACGCAGTACCACCGTTTTAGCGTTCACGGCGAGTTGGTAATAAAGGTGATAAAGGGCTAGGACAGATAATAATAGTCGTAGACAGATGGTAACAGTCGTGGCGGCTCCTACTCAAACGCCTGGTGGAAGAGCTCCGTCTTGCAGGCCCTGCGGACCTGTGCAAGGTCCCGCAGGGCCCGGATCTCCTCTGGGAGCTCATTCCATTTAAGGCAGGGGTGTCAAACATGCGGCCCGGGGTCCGGATGAGACCCCTGGAGGGCTTCTGTCAGGCCCGCAGTGGAACTGGCTGTCTTCTGCTTCTTCCAGTTCTGCTGCTGCTGCGTCATCGTAGGTTTCCAGCTTACAGATACACACCTGAACGGCATACTCAAGATTTCAACAGCACAGACATTTTGATCCAGTCGTTCAGAGCAAGAGGTGTCAGTTATCAGACACTGTTAAATAAACAAAATATTGCAAGAGTGCTAATGTTCTAAGCATGTTTTTATTTATTTGTTTGTTTGTTTGTTTGTTTGTTGGACTTTTACCCCGCCCTCCCACCTAGGCAGCTCAGGGCGGCTTACAGTAGTTAAAAACCAGTATACAATTAATACAAATCTCAGGTAGACAGGCCCCAGACCATTCAGGGCTTTAAAGGTCAAAACCAGCACCTTGAAGCGTATCCAGAATGCTATTGGCAGCCAGTGCAGTGACCTCAGCACAGGTTGGATGTGTTCCCTCATGGGGAGACCCATCAACAACCTGGCTGCGGCATTCTGCACCAGCTGCATCTTCCGGAGTTGCCCCAAGGGCAGCCCCATGTAGAGAGCATTGCAGTAATCCAGCCTCGAGGTGACCATAGCATGGATCACTGATGCCAGATCGTTGCGTTCGAGGAAGGGGACCAACTGCCTAATCAGCCGCAGGTGGTAAAAGGCTGCCTTGGCAGTGGCTGCCACCTGGGCCTCCATTGTCAAGGAAGCATCCAGGAGCACTCCCAAGCTCCTGACCCTCGGAGCTGGCACCAATGGTGCCCCACCGAAGGCCGGAAGAGGGACCCCTACCCCGTACCACTCCGATTCAGGCATAGGACCTCCGTCTTCATCGGATTCAGTTTCAGTCGACTCAGCCTAAGCCAGCCCGCTACGTCCCGCAATGCTCAGTCCAGATCTTCCGGGGCAGAGCCAGACTGACTGCCCAACAACAGATAGAGCTGGGTGTCATCCGCATATTGATGACACCCTAGCCCATGTCTCTGGGCAATCTGGGCAAGGGGGCGCATATAGATGTTAAATAACATTGGGGAGAGAACTGCCCTTTGAGGCACCCCACAAACTAGTGGGTGTCTTTGGGACAGCTTCTCTCCAAGCGCCACCCAAGGTTAAAAAAACCCCCCTTTGTGTTTGTGTCCTTTATAAAGTTTATATCTCCGCTACCTGGCATTAGATTTCATGGCACACACGGCCCGGCCCAACACGGTCTCATTTATGTCAGATCCGGCCCTCATAACAAATGAGTTCTACACCCCTATTCTAGTGCTCTTTATCAATAAAATACAAAAGCCTCTATTGGCATATATCACGTTATCCATACAGATGGTACACAAATACAGAGGCAGCAAGAATAACCTGAGTATAGGGGTATGCAAAAAAAAAAAAAAAATTCCACCCGATGCAGATTCGGCGGAATTGGGCAGAATTAATTTCCACCGGCAGGAAGACTCCCGCATGTCAATTTCGGCAGTACCAGCCCTGGAGTCTTTCCAGCTGAATGTCAATTTTGGCCCCATTACATCCTATGGGCCATTGAGGTCAATGGCGAAACCATAGGGTATATTCTGGGGGCTGGAGGGTATCTCTGTCACCTGGCATTAGATTTTATGACACACATGGCCCGGCCCAACACGGTCTCATTTATGTCAGATCCGGCCCTCATAAGAAATGAGTTCGACACCCCTGATTTAAGAGGTCGGAGTTTCCCAGACTCAAGGTTCCCTTTGACAGGCTCTCAAAAGCTCATACCCTGAAGATTTTGTTGGTCTCTAAGGTGCTACCGCCCTCAAATCTACTATTCGTTAAAGGGTTGCTTAAAGTTCTCCTGGCCTGGCCGAGACGGAGCCTGAGCTGTCCCGTACCAGGGTCTTCAGGGACGCGAAAGTGTATTCTCGGATAACTCCCATCATGTCCTCCTCCTTGGTTATCTTAAAAACAGACCAACTTGGAAACCCTCAAGCCATTCAGCTTTTGAGAGCCAGTTTGGTGTAGTGGTTAAGTGCGCGGACTCTCATCTGGGAGAACCGGGTTTGACTCCCCACTCCTCCACTTCTCACCTGCTGGATGACCTTGGGCAAGCCGTAGCTCTGATAAGAGCTGTTCTTGAAAAAAAAGCAGTTTCTGTCAGAGTTCTCTCAGCCCCACCCGCCTCCCAGGGTGTCTGTTGTGGGGAGGGGAAGGGAAAGGAGTTTGTCAGCCGCTCTGAGACACCTTTGGGTAGTGAAGGGCGGGGTATAAATCCAATCTCTTCCTCTTCTTCTTCTTCTTCTTCTTCCTCAGAGCGAGGGCACTCCGACCCCTTGCTCGTTTTGGCTACCCCTTTCTGCTCCTCTTCCAGCTCGGCCGTATCCCTTTTTTTGAGACGGGGATACCGGAACTGTATCTCGTATTCTAAATGTGGCCGTGCCGTCGGCCTATGCAAAGATACGTGCCCACACAGCAACAAAATCCAACACATTTCTAATCCTCGTGGAGGAGAACACATGTCGGTTTGCTGACCTTGCAGAAGCTAGAGGAGAGGGCCAGGTAGGGTTCCCGGTAGTCAGAAGTAGCTCCTTAGCTGCTTGGTGACTAGCAGAATTGGGGGAAATTATACACAATGGCGAAGGTAGTAAACTGGTGTGGCATATTAATTTTTCTTTTTTCAAAACGTACGGCTTGCTTATGCATCCTGGACGCAACCTTGCCCCTCCCCTTAAAATGTCAGTTTGCTGTTAAAGGTAAAGGTAAAGGTTTCCTTTGCTCGAAAGCCAGTCGAATCCGACTCTAGGGTTGCGGTGTTCATCTCCGTTTCCAAGCCGAAGAGTCAGCGCTGTCCGAAGACGTTTCCGTGGTCATGTGGCCGGCATGACTAAACACCGAGGCGCATGGAACGCTGTTCCCTTGTCGCCGAAGTGGTACCTGTTTATCTACTTGCAATTTCTTGCTTTCGAACTGCTAGGTTGGCAGGAGCTGGAACTAGAGACGGGAGCTCACTCCATAATGTGGCACCCGGGTCTCGAACTGCTGAACTACCGACCTTCCACAGCCTGCAGTTCAGCGTCTTAACCACTCCTAGTTTGCTGTTACGTCTATTCTATTTTTCTCTCTCTCTTATTAGTGAAAAAGGAGCTAATGAACGAAGCTGCTGCAAGCGACAAGGAAGCGCCTTTGGATGAAAAGGTAGAACGGACGCAAACATAGAGCTGGAAGGTGCCACAAAGGGTCATCTAGCCCAGCCTTCTGCACAATGCAGGAAATTCACAACTGCCTTCTCCCCATTTTCCCAGTGACCCCTGCTTTGTGCCCAGAGGGAAGGCAAAAAACCTCCAGGATCCCTGGGCCAATCAGGCCCGGAGGGAAATTCCTTCCTGACCCTCAGTGGCAATTGGACTTTCCCTCGGCTTATAAGAAAGAGCCATGAGAGCCGAGTTCAAAATATCGGCGAGGTGATGTCCAAATTTTAGGAAAAACGTCTGAAGCATAAGAGGCCATGGAGTGGATTGTATGGATGCATTTATTACTGTGGAGCCCCGGGAGTGTTTTCCATAAATTCAGGCCTGTTGATTCAGCTTTGTTCCTCCGTTGGTCTGAACATCCAGGCAGTTTTGTCCACTCAGTCTGCAACTGGGCACACAAGAGCTGACTTGGCAAGGAGTATAATCTGGCCCAGTTTCAGGGGATAAAAACAGATATGAAATTGCTAACAAGCTTTGTCAGATCTCTGTATATAAAGTGACCTTGGTCTCTGTTGTGTCTCAGCCTAGTCTACCTGGCGGGGTTGTTGTGAGGATGAAATGAGAGGAAAACATCACACCCATGCTGTTCAGAGAGAGAGAGAGAGATTGGATTTATACCCCGCACTTCACTACCCAAGGGAGTCTCAGAGCAGCTTACAAACTCCTTTCCCTTCCCCTCCCCCCAACTGACACCCTGTGAGGTGGGTGGGGCTGAGAGAGCTCTGACAGAAACGGCTCTTTTTCAAGGACAGCTCTTATCAGAACTATGGCTTGCCCAAGGTCATCCAGCCAGGTGCAAGTGGAGGAGTGGGGAATCAAACCCGGTTCTCCGTGCACTTAACTGCTACACCAAACTGGCTCTCCAGAGGGAATGGTGTCTTTATAAAAATGTGCCACAAGCCCAGCCAGTGTCATGTAGTTGGTTGGAATGTCAGATTAAGATTTGGAAGACCCAGGTTCAAATCCCCACTCTGCTACAGGAGCTCGCCGGGTGACCTTCGGCCAGTTGCACACTCTCGGCCTAGCCTATCTCACAGGACTATTGTGAAGTGGAGAAGAACACAATATAAGCCACGATATGAGGCAGTTTGGAGTAGTGGTTAAGAGTGGTAGACTCTAATCTGGAGAACCGGGTTTGATTCCCCGCTCCTCCATATGCAGCCAGCTGGCTGAACATGGGCCAGTCACAAGTTCTCTCCGAGCTCTCTGAGCCCCACCTACCTCACAGGGTGTCTGTTGTGGGGAGAGGAAGGGAAAGGCTATTGTAAGCTGCTCTGAGACGGTGAGAGGAGGTTGGGGTATCAATCCAATCTCTTCTTCTTCACTTTGGGTCCCCGTTGAGGAGAGAAGTTGGATATAGATGGAGTAAATAAATATTTCCAAATTAAGAGGTACGGCTTGCAGGGAAGCCCCTGAGATGTTTCCTGATAACTCTGAATGATATTTGACAATCCCAAGTAATAACTTTCCTGTGTTTTATTGTGGTGTGTGTGTGTATTGGCAAGCTGAATATCATAAATTCCTCCTTCTCTTTCTCTAGAGTTCCTTGCCTGCTGTTGAGGAAGACTCGGCCACCCTCTCTGTCTCTGGCGTCTACTTCATTTGCCCGTTAACGGGGTCCTGTGTCAGGAAAGACAAAAAGGAGGCCCACATCCGCGAAGCCATCCAACAGGTCCGTTGCGGGAGTGCGGAGGCCACTGCCACCCTCCCAAGCCTGTAAATCCAAGCAGCAAGGGGGAAAGACTAGCGTCACAGGAGTCCCAAATACACAAATTCCACGAGTAGAAAGCACCATCAAAGATTGCCAACATATTTGGAATAACATATTCCAAACAGAGCGAATCATAGGTTCTCCTGAAGCCCTTACACTATGAACCTTGGTTCACACAGCCGGCAAACTGAAGAAGTCGAAGGAAACGCATCTTCCAAATATCTAGAACGGGTGTCTTTGCAAAGGCTGTTTGGAATATGCCATGACTATGTGAACTCCTATCAAGTTACACTGAGTACATGGACTTGATGTCTTATCTTCAAAGGAGGAAATATTGTATCTTATGCCTTAATATAGTTACAGTATGCATAAATGTTTTTGTTGTGACACCACCAACATTATCATTGTTTAAATATATTGTTTTGGCAATCTTTGATGGTGTTTTTTACTAGTGGAATTTGTATATTTGGGACCCTCCCAAGCCTAGCACCTGTTGTCTGTTTCTGGTTTTTCTCTCCTGACGGTCCTTTCCTTTTTCTCCAGCACGCTTCCCAGGACCCCGTGGGCGCGTCCATCATGGAGATCCACACTTTGAATCGGGACAGGGAGAAAGTCAAGCTCGGGGTGGAGACCATGGTCAAGTAGGTGCCTGCTGTCACTTCCAGGCAGAATTCATGGTGCCCCTTAACCTGGGGTGGGCACGTGGAGAAAGCTAGAGGGGGAGAACCAGTAGCTTTGTGGGCGGGTGTTCCAATCCAACCTATCATCATGTGCTGCTGGATTAACTTTGTCCTATTCAGGCTGTGGTTTCCATTCCCAGGGAGTTCTTCCCATTGCCAGCTCTATAAACAGATTTTTGTAATATACCAATTAACTACGTACATAAATATCAGATAGTAGAAAGAACACTTCTGTATCCATTTAATGAAATCATTTACACAGTGCTAGTCTACTGATTAGCAGTTCCCTTTAAATCACTGTATTCTTACAAACATATAGAAAAGCTAATAAATACTGATAAACAGCACAATAAAGCTAAGAAGTATCCTTTTTTTAGTATTATAATGCTGTACACTTTGACAGTACATGAATACTTTTGTTCCTATATGCTTTATGAAGAAGAAGAAGAAGAAGAAGAAGAAGAAGAGATTGGATTTATACCCCGCTTTTTACTACCTGAAGGAGTCTCAGAGTGACTTACAATCTCCTTTCCCTCCCCCTTCCCACAACAGACTCCCTGTGAGGTAGGCGAGGCTGAGAGAGCTCTGAGAGAACTTGTGACTGACCCAGGGTCACACCAGCAGCTGCATGTGGAGTGGGGACTCAAACCTGGTTCTCCCAGATTAGAGTCCACGCTCCTAACCACAACACCAACTCTGTCAATTTTTTTCTCAGATAAATGTTTGAGAAGCAACATTCCTAGGGAGAGGCTTTTTGCCGGGTGTGAAGATCTTTGATTATGGAAAGATTACAAGGCAAATGCCAGCGATTAAAGGGATAAGAGATTGAAGGCTTTTTTGATTTGTCTACCCCATCTTTGAGGGAGTTCTGTGAAACAGGTCCTCAAGCTAGCCCCCCCCCCCCCAGTAGGACTTGTGACTGCTTTGCTCGGAGAAAAAGCCTCTCGACATCAGCTGGGACAAATGACTGTTAATCAGGAGACTAGCACCGTGTAAAATGATTTCGTTAAATGGACACAGAGGTGTTGTTTCTACAATCTGATAGTTATGTACTTAGTGAATTGGTATATTAAAACGAAGGTCTGTTTAGAGTTAATTAGTTATTTTTCTACGGTTATTGTTTTCCCTGTTTGGGCTCACATCCGTTCTCCTCCTTTCCTGTATTGAGTTCCCTGCATTCAGCAGCGGGTGGTGAATATAAGCTGCTCTTACTGTATGGGGGTGGGAGTTGTAACACCCACTTTCCGGCAAGCAAATCACGTTGCAGTTCCCACGAGTCTTCCTTCGAAGTAAACGCGCATCAGGTCAGGCTGTGGTAACATGCAAGAGGCCTACGTCATGCAATTTTCTTCTTCCCCGCCAGGTACCTCGATAACATCCATCTCCACCCTGAGGAAGAGAAGTATCGGAAAATCAAACTTCAGAACAAAGTGTTTCAGGTGGGTCTCCTTTGTGGGGAAGGCAAGCCATTGCACTTCAAAAGTATGCCGAAGCTGGAAGTCTAAGCTGGCTCAATCCGCACAGCTGCTCTCTTCCCCCCAAGAATCCTGGGAACTGTAGTTCAAAGGGAGTATGCTCCCCTTGAACTACAGTCAGGTGATGCACATTGGGACAAAATCCCAACTTCAAGTATACGCTAATGGGGGTCTGAACTTGCTGAGACTGAGGGGAAACGTTCTTGGGGTCGAAGTGGACAGCTCCATGAAAGCGTCAACCCAGTTTGCTGCAGCAGTGAAAAAGGCAAACTCTATGTTAGGGTTTATTAGGAAAGGGATTGAGAATAAAACAGCCAACACTCCACTCATTTCTTTTTTTAAAATGGGAACTAGCCTTCTCGCAAGAGGTGCTCTTCCAGGGCTCCATCTTTCAATTCTGCTCCGATATTTGTTGTACGTCGGATAGTGAGGCCTCATCTAAGCACATAGCCCAGGAGGTGGGAATATCACAGCAGAGCCATGGTTAGTGCGGACTGTTTAATAAGAACATCAGAAGAGCCCTGCTGGATCAGACCAGTGAGGGTCCATCTAGTCCAGCATCCCGTCTCACACAGTGGCCAACCAGTTCCTCTGGAGGTCCAACAACAGGGCAGAGAGGCCGAGGCCTTCCCTGATAAGAACATCAGAAGAGCCCTGCTGGATCAGACCAGTGAGGGTCCATCTAGTCCAGCATCCCGTCTCACACAGTGGCCAACCAGTTCCTCTGGAGGTCCAACAACAGGGCAGAGAGGCCGAGGCCTTCCCTTGCGGTTGCCTCCTGGCTCTGGGATTCAGAGGCTTAGTGCCTCTGAATGTGGAGGTTCCCCTCAGTCACCACAGCTAGTAACCATTGACAGGCTTATCCTCCATAAATCTTTTTTTTTTTAAAGCCCCCGGAGGAGATTTTTTTATTGCATTTTTTTTAACACTACAAAAGTACAACAGAAAAAAAAGGAGGGGGAACTACATTTATAGGATAAAGAAAGATACCCACTACTGACTAAAAACCCAAGAGAGGAGATCATCCCACCAGCTTAACCATACATTTAGTCTTAATCCCATTAGTTTTACTATCAACTGAGTCAAGTTTGACATTATCTTTTTCAAATCTTAAATTCGTTATACAGAAACACCCCAAAGCATCTCACTTCAACCCTTTTTAAAGGCACAATTCAGAGTCCTTCAGCCTTTACTTCTCCTTGCCTAGTCTCTTCCGAAGCTTATAAGGACTTTTAGGGGCCGCCTCCCCTTTCTCTGAAATAGAGTCCTCCCCGGAGGATTCCGAGTCCAGCTCGCCATTGGACTTACTGTCCTCTCCTTTTTCTCCTTCCTTCCCTGGCCCTCCCATCTGGACTCTTAGAAATTCCCGTGCTTTCTGGACAGAGTCAATCTTTTCTTTTTTATCCTTAATTTTGAAGGTTACGCCTTCTGAAGTTAACCATCTATATCCGATTGCATTTGCCTGTAAAAAAAGAATTAATTGTTTATATTTCTTTCTCCTTTGTCTTATTTCAAATGGAATGTCTTTCAACGTTCTGATGGTATTCTCCCCCACTTTCAGAGGTGCTCCAGATACTGCTTTCAGGATTGTATCCCTCACACGCCTCTTCGAGAATCTTACCACAATTTCCCCAGGCAGATTATTTCTCTTTATATATCCTGAATATGACCTATAGGCCACATCCATTTCGTTTAAGAAAGATTCCGCCTTCATATCTGACACTGGGGCCAATAATTCACTCATTAGTTCCTTAAGATTCTCTCCCTTTGTCTCTGGCAAGCCCTGGAAGCGAAGGATCATATTAGCCTTTTCCATTTGTAATTGTAGCAGTTGATCTTCCGTAGAAACTTGCTTCTTTTCCAGCTTTTGAACTTTCTTTTTCACCTTTTGTGCAGTGGCGTCCACTTCATTCACCTTTTCAGACGTTTCATTCATCATTTTCAATATCTCGGTCGTCTGTGTCTGCTGTATGGTGATACACTGAGTCATTTTTGACATCTGAGCCTTGAGGTTACTCATTTGGTCCAGTAGATGGCGCATGGGTTCTGCCAAAGTCTTTGCTAGCTCGCTGGCTCCTTCCGGTTTAGGGCTCTCAGTTAGTTTCGCTTTTGCTCCATGCATCTATCTAATCCCCTTTTAATGCTGTTTATTCCTGTGGCCTTCACTACATCCTCTGGCAGCAAATCCCACATTTTAATCACTCTCTGTGTGAAGTAGTGTTTCCTTTTGTTCCTCTTCAACTGCCGGGGACGGGGTGGGGAGGAAATAACGCTGTTGTGTATAAAATACCATGCAGTTAGAAAACGTGCTTGTGAAGAGTGAGCCAAACCGGAGCCTTTCTCCTTGGTAACGATAGATTTTTGATTGCTTGGGGGGGGGGGCGCTGTTTTATTTGTTCATGTGTTTCCCATTGTGGGGTGCCACCCGCCCCTTCTTACCGTCTGAAGTGGCACCGTCTGTTTTGCTCCTTTGTTCTTATCCATTAGTCTGCTGGGCCTCCACTTGCACCTGCTGGATGACCTTGGGCAAGCCATAGTTCTGATAAGAGCTGTTCTTGAGAAAGAGCCGTTTCTGTCAGAGCTCTCAGCCCCACCTACCTCCCAGGGTGTCTGTTGTGGGGAGGGGAAGGGGAAGGAGTTTGTAAGATGCTCTGAGACTCCTTCGGGTAGTGAAGGGCAGGGTATAAATCCAATCTCTTCTTCTTCTTTTACCTCCCAGGGTCTCTGTTGTGGGGAGGGGAAGGGAAAGGGAAAGGAGTTTGTAAGCCGCTCTGAGACTCCTTTGGGTAGTGAAGGGCGGGGTATAAATCCAATTTCTTCTTCTTCTTCTTCTACCTCCTAGGGTCTCTGTTGTGGGGAGGAGAAGGGAAAGGAGACTGTAAGCCGCTCTGAGACTCCTTTGGGTAGTGAAGGGCGGGGTATAAATCCAATTTCGTCTCTCTTCTTCTCTTTCTGTGTTTTGTTCTGTGCTAAATGTTTCTGGGTCTGCTCGTGTATTGCAGCCGAAGCTTTTTCAGCTGCCTTTCAGGGCTTGTTGGGAAAAGGTGTGCCACGAATGCATTGATGGCTAGAAACGAAGCTTTCACCCCTCGGGATGTGATGCTGTGAAGGATGCTAAACGGGAATGTAATTTTAGCTTGACAAAGTTTTTATCTTACTGATTGTATATGCCAATAAAGGTTCTGTATTGTTGTAAACTGGAATGAGAAAACTGCATTTAATCTCTTTAATCCCCCCCCCCCCAGGAAAGGATCCGCCCTCTGGAGGGGGCAGACAGGTTTTTTGAAGCTGTGGGATTTGAAAAGATGACCTTGAGCGTTCCAGGGCAAGGTAAGTTGGAGGGGCTGAAAGAATGAGCAGTGAATTGGGAAGCCAACTAGTTTGAAACTCACCTCAGCAGAAAGCTCACTCAACCTTTGGCGAGCCTGTCCCTTCTCCCCTTCCCCAAACCTGGGGGCGCGACCGTCCCATTACCACAAAGGACCATTGTGGGGGTTGCAGCATGTGCCGAGCACTTTGAACCACTCCCGGGTGCAAACCAAATGCTAAGCACAGTTAAGGAATTTGGCTAGGATTAAGTACTGCAATGTGAGCTGGTGTTCAATGCTCCCTCTAAGACGTGGAGTCTCATGAGCAATTCTTCTACTTTGTGAGCGACTAGCATTAAAGTTGTGAGCGTGCAATTGGGCTGCTGTATAAATTAGTTTGCCTCTGGAGCCATCCTTCCTGAGCCAGGATAAAAATGTGTGACTCAAAAACTATGAGCTAGCTCACACTAACCCAGCTTAGAGGGAACACAGCTCAGATCCCCATCTTCCTCTCAGACCTATTTGCATGCATAGCAACCAACGCTCCCTCTAAGCTGTGGAGTCTTGTGAGCAAAAATCCTACTTTGTGAGCTGCTGGCCTTAGAGTTGTGAGCCATCCCTTCCTGAGCCAGGACAAAAATGTGTGACTCAAAAACTGTGAGCTAGCTCACACTAACTCAGAGCTTAGAGGGAGCACTGTCTGTCTGGGGGTGTTTGATAAAACACCCAAGTTCCTAGGTTCTCGACTGTCTTTCCTGACCCTGACCTTTCTACCCCATTTGGGTAGTGTTTTTAAAAAAAACCCAAAGAAGAGATTGGATTTATATCCTGCCCTTCACTACCCAAAGGGGTCTCAGAGCGGCTTACAAACTCCTTTCCCTTCCCCTCTCCACAACAGACCCCCTGTGAGGGAGGTGGGGCTGAGAGAGCTCTTGACAGAAATTGCTCTTTTTCAAGAACAGCTCTTGTCAGAACTATGGCTTGCCCAAGGTCATCCAGCAGGTGCAAGTGGAGGAGTGGGGAGTCAAACCCGGTTCTCCCAGATTAGAGTCCGCGCACTCAACCGCTACACCAAACTGATCCCACTGCTTGCCCCCTTGCGTAGGGCGTTCACCCTGTCCTGGCGTGGGACTTGGCTCCTTCATCCCTGAGGGCACGAAAGGGCACCTGTGTATTCCTGCGGGCGCTCAGCCAGGCAAGGTGGTGAATGGAGTTGTTGCGGGCAGCGGCTAGGGAGGCTCTCCAGTGGCTGCCTCCACTCCGGCACGGGTCTCCTTGGGAGGGCCCAGGGCACCCACCCGTACCCCTTCATATACTCCTTTCCCACTAGGCTTCCCCGTGTACATGACCAAATGAGGCGTGAGGGTTCCGGGTCGAGTAACCAACTATTGAAGAGATTTAACAACAACTGTGATTCAATAATGTGTGGAGAAAATGAGCACAGTAAAGGCAGGTAAACCAGCAAAATAAGAAACCCCGATGCATCCGAGTATACTGTGCTTAGCCTTCTCTAGGCACCTGGTCTCAGATTGAGGAGGAGGTTGGATTTATACCCCGCCCTTCACTACCCAAAGGTGTCTAAGAGCGGCTTACAAACTCCTTTCCCTTCCCCTCTCCACAACAGACACCCTGTGAGGTAGGCGGGGCTGAGAGAGCTCTTTCCAGAACTGTCCTTGAGAGAACAGCTCCGACAGAACAGCTCTCCCAGATTAGAGTCCGCGGCTTACAAACCCTTCCCCTCCCCACAGCAGACACCCTGTGAGGTAGGCGGGGCTGAGAGAGCTCTTTCCAGAACTGTCCTTGAGAGAACAGCTCCGACAGAACAGCTCTCCCAGATTAGAGTCCGCGCACTTCACCACTATACCAAACTGGCTCACCCCCTTTTGGATGAGGGATCCCTCCTTCTGCAGCAGCTTCACACCAGCTCTGCTCCCGGAGAGTGAAACCCCCTCCCACTTTGGGCAAGGCCTTTTATTCCTTCTTCCCAGGCAATACCCTGTACTCCTCTGCTGGTGTACGTTTCTCCTCCAAACCCCGTTAGCCAATCACAGGGTCCAGAGGGAACCTGGGAAATGTAGGCCCTGTCGTCATTCTAATACAGGCTTCCCTGGAGCAGCTAGGCCTCCCTAGAGCCTGTAGGCCACACCACTATAGGCCTAGGATCCTGACAGGAGTAAAAAGCCGGAGGCCGAGAGGGCTAGGTTCCTGCTCCTACAGCCAGTTGTATTCTGCAAACTGAGTGGGTAACGGCAGCGACTGAAGGAGGGGCTGTTCTGGGAGTAGAAGGTAAGTGGGTACATTGCCAGTGGTGACCTGGAGCTGTCTTGAAGCTTCTGAACTCCCAACGTGGAAGGTGTCTGATGCCTAGCAAGGACCAATGCCACCCCCTCCGCATTCACCGTTCCCCCAGGCCCACACCCGAACGTGCGAGCGTTTTTGTAGGATGACCTTTGACATGCTGTCTCTGTGCTTGAAACCATGCCGAGGTTGGCATGTTGACAAAGCTGCCTTAGTTCGGGTAGTGGTATCCTAGAGCGTAGCTGGGCAGGACGGGAGTTTGGGATGTTGTTGCCATTCGCGATCCCCGCCACGGGGTGAAAGAAGAGGGGAAGCTGGGTCGCGTCATGGTAACAGAGGGCAGCGGAAGAGAAGCCTACCGCCTCTTCTCTTCTCCCCACTTCTTTTCTGAAATCAGTATGCCCCTACAGAACCTGGGGGATCCAAGGTTGTGCCTCCGCTTCCTACTCTTAAAACAGAATCAGATGGTTAAAGGGGGGTCCAGACTCTTTTCTGCTCTACCCCGCTGTCCGGATGACATCCTCCATCCACAGCTAATCAAGTAAAGCTGGTTTGCTGCTGGCAGAGGACAGATACAGTACAGGAAGAGAGAGTCTTACTTTCCAAGGCCTCCCACCTCTTTGGTGTAGTGGTTTAAGTGTAAAGAACCTCTTGCAGTTCCGCAGGGCCTGCAAGACGGAGCTCTTCCGCCAGGCCTTTAATTCAGAGCCAACACTACTACTATCACACCACCACCAATTGTATTGGTAACAACGGGGTAAAGGGACAGCCCTATGAAGATCAAATCACGGCATCACTGCGGATCGGTTCCGCTGGATGGGGACGAGCAACATCTACAGGACATTATCCTCCTCTAGTGAAGGATTGACATTGTTATGTAACATCTTGGGGATACCATCTTGCTTAACTGATAGATTGGAATTACTGAGTACTTTACTGTTTGATGTGATTGTTTTATCCTGTTTTATCCTGTTTTTATGTTTTACCTTGTTCTTGAATTGTTGTGAGCCGCCCTAAGCCCGCTTGCAGGGAGGGTGGGGTAGAAGGGCAATAATAAATAAAAATAAATAAATAAAGTGCGCAGACTCTAATCTGGGAGAACTGGGTTTGATTCCCCACTCCTCCACTTGCACCCGCTGGATGACCTTGGGCAAGCCATAGTTCTGATAAGAGCTGTCCTTGAAAAAAAGAGCAGTTTCTGTCAGAGCTCTCTCAGCCCCACCGACCTCACCGGATGTCTGTTGTGGGGAGGGGAAGGGGGAGGAGTTTGTCAGCCGCTCTGAGACTCCCTTGGGTAGTGAAGGGCGGGGTATAAATCCAGTCTCCTCCTTCTTCTATCTCAGCCCCACCTCCCTCACAGTGTGTCTAATGTGGGGAAGGGAAAGGAATTTGTCAGCCGCTCTGAGAGTCCTTTGGGTAGTGAAGGGCAGGGTATAAATCCAATCTCTTCTTCTCTTCTTCTTCTTAAGCTGAGAGGCCCTAGGGACCTTGTTTCCCAGGAATCCCAGCCAGTATCTGAGCATGCGGAGGAGGATGTGGTATCCAGGCCTTCAAGGTGAGGCCTGGAGGCCATCCACGCCAGCCCCCCTCTCTCGCCGAGTGCCGCTAAAGCCACAGCGTTGCGCTCCTCTCTGTTGTCCCCCTCCCCAGAGGATCTGGAGGACTTCTACGTGCTGAAGGAAGAGGCCCTGGAGAAACTGGGCAGCCTCAAGGAGTACAAGGAGCAGCTGCTGAATGCCGCGCCGGTGAGAGCCCAGCTGGACCGCCAGCTCCGCGTTTTCAAGCCGTCCCCCCGGGCCTCCCACTTTGAGCTGCCCAGCGACTTCTTCAACCTCACCACCGAGGAGCTGATGCGGGAGCGGCGACTCCGGTAAGCAGTTGAGTCGCATAGGGCCGAGAGGCTGATGCCGCCCTCTAAGTGGGGAAGGGAGGGACGGCGCGTCTGTGGCATTCGGGCAGCTTAAGCTTCCGAAACAGGCACATGCTCAGTTGTGTGTAGTGTTAGGATGAATCCTCTTAGGGAAGATTAATCCTTAGGGGTTCTTGGACACCAGTGTATACAGAGAGGAGAAAGCAGAACAGACACTCCTTATTTCCCACAAAGAGACAACACACCTGGATGTTAAAGAATAAATGTTGTCTTTACTGAATAATATTGAAATTCGCAAGCATACAAAAACTGTTTCGCACACACAAACACACAAACTCCTTTAGGTACAGTAGAAATGTAAAGCAATCAGTATGGAAAATAATAAACGTTGACTAACTGGGTTAGTTCTCAAAAGGTTAACGGATATACTTATCTGATCCAGAAAAGAGTTTGATCTTCTCAATGGGGAATGCGGGAACGAAAGATCTATCTAGAGGGATTCTACTGCACACGAGTGGACCAGCCAAACACGTGTGGGCTTCACTTGGTCGCGATCCAAGGAAGCACGTGAGAATAACCTTCAGTAGAGACTTAGTTGCCTAGGTGGGATGGGGGTGGCTAGCGACAAACAAAGGATGAACATCGCCTTTTAAAACCTATTTTGGGGGTTGGCATCAGTGCCAACCTCCTGTCCTTAGTCCGTCCCAGTCCCTAGGTCTATTGATCATTGGGATGTGACGTACCTATCTAGACGGAGTGGGGCAATATTCAAATTCTACCCTATGCTTCTATAGGAACCATTTAGCCAAGGTGTCAAAGTTGCATTGCCATGGAAACCTTTGATGTGAAGATGCTCTGGCTTGGTCAAGGGGTTGTAAACAGGAAAGAGGCACTTTCAGATGCAAACCAGATACAGGGTTACGTGTTATCCAGGAACTCACCCATGGTGGTAAAGCTGTTGTTTGTAAGAGTCCTTTGACTGAGCATAATGGAGAATGCTTCTTCTTCCCAAGGCAGGATGGGTAAGTGTGTGTGTGCCTCCATTAGCATACGGGCAGCACATTGGCACAGCAGCTTCCAGGTGCAGGCAAACCAAAGCAAGCAAATCACACAGCATTCCAAACCCATACATACAAATGCAGATACATTGCATACATTCAAGCATCAGCACAATACAGATAAAAATACATTTTTAAACACATCTGCTAACAGTAGCTAGACGCAGGCAGCAAGACCAGGCGCACTCCCCTCTGCCGCCTCTCCAGTGAAAAGGATCTCCAATAGCTGCCAGGATTTTTGTGGCTTGTGGGGCAGACGTTTCTTCTGGTGGGGCTGAAGTTCTCAGCGCAGAAAGAAAAGCCATTTCAGCCAATAGAAGGCTGTTACCCGGATGGATCTCTGAATTGCAAGCTGTCATCATTTAGATGACAGTTCTCCGTTGCTGCAAGTTAACCACTCCTGCCAGCCTAAGCAACAATTCTGAGAACAAGGCGGCAGGTGGGGTTGATGACTTCTATAGTCGAGGAAACTAAGGCAGAAAAACTCTCTTAAAGAAGACCAGTTTCTTGACACAGATAGAGGTCCTAGAGGTCACTTACTCCAACCCCCTTGCTCAGTGTGGGAATTAGTCAACTGCAGCACCCCACTCTGCTTAAAGGAGCGCACGCCTTTAAAAATATTTCAAAATGATTGAAAGAAGCATTTACCGGAGAAATTCTTGTGGGGCTGTGCCTTTAAGAAAGGGTGCAGAGCCCCCAAAAGACCCTACCATAGCTACGGGCCTAATAGCAGCTATCGAAAAATATGTTTGCTGGAACAGCCCCGAACAAAACTGGAAGGCAGCTTCCTTAGGCAGTCTAGTTTTGACGGAATGTTAATAGCGCTGGTTGTGTTAAATACTTTTTATTTTAAAACCTCTTTTCCTGTTCCCAACTTGAATGGTCTCATCCTGTGGCACAAGGAGAAGCAGGTGACAACAGTTTTGATGAAGTTAAGAACGGTTTTAGCCTCTTAAGTATCTAGAGCAAGATCCAAAGGGCCACTAGCACCTTAAGACTAACAAGCTTTACAGAGTATAAAGCTTTCAGGAGTGGAGAGGTAAAATTTCCGGATATTTTGCTCGGAAAAATCCCTGGTTTTACATTAGCACTTCTTTTTTCTTTTCCAGATTGAAAGTCATTCTGTTACTTTAGGAACATAAAATATGACTATGGACATTTTTACTTGGCATGAAATTATCACAACTAGCATATTAAAAATATAGTGTATCCAAACAATTATTACAAACAGAATACCCACCCTGATGCAAAAACAAAACTGAAACCTTTTTC